AGTTTTAGTATGTAAGTAGCAAATAACTGTTTTTTATCAGATAATAAAAATCGATAGTACCTATTTGCTGTGACTATTTGGCAACTTTCTCTAAACCTTTGTGCTATGGTGATGACCAATACAGGGATGAAAGTGAATGGTGGATGCTTCCTTCTGGTCTATTCCTCTGCAAAATAATTCAAGCTCGTCTTATTGATTGTCATGTGGCTAACCAGGAAATACAGGATCTTTCATTGTACAGCAGTGACACTAATGTGTTTTGGAATTCTTGAGTCAGTTTTGTTAACTTAGTCTCTGTATTTTCCTTTAACTTATGTATAGTGGGTAGATCTTTTAACTAGGTAGGAGCTGTAATATTGAGTTATAGGGTTGTACAAATTGTACAATTGTACAATGTTAGGAAAGGTTTATAGCATGTTTGGTTTCACGCCAATGTTGAGCTGAACCAACAGGTGACTTTCGAGTTTACCAGACACATGTTAAATTTTATGTGATGTGTGAAATGGGTTGATTACATGGTTTTTTATTACCAGTTACTATAGTTTACTTTTGATTCAAGAGTTTCAGGGTTTTGGTCCTTTTGTAATGGTGGCGGATATCTCAGCATACATGGCTCAAGTTTCTGTGTCTTTCTTTTGTCTTATGCACATACTTAAAATTATGAGCATGCAAATATTTAATTCAGTCAATTTTTATTTTTATTTTTTAAGTTGTGAGCTATGTCTATCAGCTATAGGTGAATTTGGAGGTTATAAAAATAAGAGTCTTATGCACATTTAAAATTATGAGCATGCAAGTATTTAATTTAGTCTATTTTTTTTTATAAAATTGTGAGCTATGTCTATCAGCTATAGGTGAATTTGGAGGTTATAAAAATAAGAGTGAAACTCATTGTGGTCCTAATAAATATTTTGGAATTCAGTCTGGTTTCTCAGAAAAATAATTCAAACTTTAGTCACTGAAAAAATTAAATTAGAACAATTTAGTCCCTAAAATTTTATCTACACTTATTTTGTGGAGTAAACCTATTGTGGTCCTTAGAAGTAAGTATTTTGGAATTTAATCTGGTTTCTCAAAAATAATTCAATTTTTAAATATTGAATATAGTTAACTGAGACAATTTAATCCCTACGTAAAATTTTATCCAAAACTATTGTGTGTGCTGTTTACACATTCTACATGTGTTTCCTCATTCCAATTAAGAACAATAGAGTATTGTCTCATCTGTATGTTCTAATATTTAGAATGGTCTTCTTTAATTGTAGAAAATTCAATGAGATTTGAGGAGGGGAATGATAGAGTTTTGATTGGAAGATTATATTATAACATCATGTTTAAGACTACCAACATTTTGCTAAGTAGTCACGATAATATTTTGGCTTTATTTGAACATCATGTTTTTTTTAATCTTTTTTATTTTATTTTTAACTAATGATGTTTTATTAAGCAAACTGTGTCAATAAAACTAATTCTTTTTAAAAATTATATTAATTGTTTAAAAAAAAACATAATATAGTTATGTAGGAGTCTTTGTAAATTTATAAAAAATCCAATATTAAAAATTAGATTTATTTTATTGATGACTTAAAGTAGATTTTTGATAGTATAGTATGCAAATTCAAATTCGTGATATTCTATTTATTTATTTGAAATTTTGACCACATTTAAATGTAAGAAAAAAGATTTTTTTGTTGAAGACCTAAAGTCTCAATATTTACCAAACGGAAACAACTTTATTTATTAATTTTAATTTTAATTTAAATGTTTTTCTATATTTTTTTTAATGAACTAAAGATGAAAAAAACAAAAGAGAGAGACTGAATTGTGTTAGTTTTATTTTTCTTTTTTGAAAATCTCTTATTAGATTCTAAACACAAAGTTTATAATTTGAATAAGAGTTAAGTGTTTAGCAACGACTTAAAGCAGTTTAAACTAGTTCAAAGGTAGAAAAGAATGCAAGAGAGACACAAGCAGTTATTCTGATTTCTCCCACAAATCGAGAGTAGTACAGTCCCCTTGCACTTTCAAGAAATTTTCACTATAACCAAAATTGATTACAATTGCTCAAGTACAAAGCAATATATTTTCAATGCTCAAACACATAAGTAAGAGACTTCTACGCTCAAACACACAAGTAAGAGACTTTTATGCTCAAATACACAAGTAAGAGACTTCAAATGCTCAAGCACACATGCAAGAGACTTCCAATGCTCATACTCGGGTAAGAGACTTCTAATGCTCAAGCACACAATCAAGAGATTTCAAATGCTCAAGCACTTAGAAATAGACTTCTTAAACTCTAACTTATAGTTAAGAGATTGCAAAAAATTACACTTGATATACAATCAGATGTGTAGACAAAATACAACGCAGAAATACTATCTGAGACTTAAGAATTTCTAGAATATACATGATCTTACCGGGATCAGAAGAATATTCAGTGGTCAGCAACACGTCGTGAGTTCGTAGTTCACCGGTGGTGGAGAAGAGGATGAGAGTGTACCTGCAAGACACTTCGATGTCAAAGTGAGATTCAAAATGAAAGAGAGAGAGAGAGAGAGAGAGAGAGAGAGAGAGAGAGAGAGAGAGAGAGAGAGAGAGAGAGAGAGAGAGAGAGAGAGAGAGAGAGAGAGAGAGAGTAAATATAGAAAGTGAGTATGAATTGGGATATATGGCTCTCCAGTGGAGGAGGGTATTTATAATGTGCCCCCATCGTTGGGTCAATGGTCATCTGTTGTGAGCTGGATCGTAAGACCCACAACAGATGACTGTCAGGATCCTACGTGGAGGTAGGGAAGACTAGCACACGATCTTCGTCCTGGGTCAGCTGCCCACGAACTCCGAAAAGTGAATGACCTATTCTCAAGGACGTCGGTTCAGCTGGTGACGTGTCCCCACGTGAGGAGCACGTGGAGAATGTGTGAGGAACGTTACCTCCCGCGGTGATGGCGGATTGGGCCTTTGTGTTGGATCATCTCCAACGCGGAGCTGGGTTGGATTGTGCCTAACGGTTGGCCAATCCCAGACCTAGTCCAGAATAGTATCCCCCAAGTCGTTGCTCCGAAGCAAAGGAGTAGTGACTTAGAGTCATTCTTATGTCGAAGAGGGACAAAAAGAGATTTACCCAGGGAATGTCGCTCGGGTTTGAGGTGGAGAGCTCTTGAAGCTATGCTCGCGGGGGAACATGGTAGTTAATCATCGTGCTCGACAAAGCGAACATACAAAGATTTTCACCAAGACCCTGCCCGCGAGGTTTGTGCATGCCCGACATCAAGGTCCAGTTTTGCGTTTATCTCGAGGTCATGTCCTCGCGAGGGGCCAAAGTTGTTATCTATGCTCGACAACGTGACTTGTTTCAAACCTTTCTCCGAGGACGTTCCCGCGATATAGCGTGGGAGTCGAGCACTCCGAGCAAGGCTATGAGCGACGAGCTCTGAGACAAGTGAATGAAGTGGAAGGAATGTACACGTCATTTCTTCGAGTCGTGTGTTGGGGCTTGAAAAGACAAGTGTGACATTTTTGAGCCACATGCCAGAAATAATAAATGTGTCTGACGACCTACGAGTAGGGATACTTGAGGGTCTAGGCGACGATTCGTTACCGTGCCAGCGGATATAAGTATGAGGAGCGAGGGTTCATTTGTTACGCTCATAGTACTCAAGTTATTCAAGAGTTCCTCAAGTTTACTCAAGTTTTTCTACTCTCTCTAATTCTCGTTCGCAGCCGCCATCTCCGTCGTCGGTTCTTCTTCCGGCATCGTAGCTTTCGAGAATCTCCTTCATACTCAAGTTTCCTCTGTCTTTTCTGAAGGTGAGCCAGTCTCAGGCTCAGTCCAGAACAATACATGTGTTAAGAAATTCAAAGTTAAATTGTATTTGACCGAGTAACTGCTCTTTTGAATGTCAATAACTCGTCATTTTTCTTCAAGTCTTCAGCTCCTTATATAAAGATAAAGAAAAGAGTTGTTGAAGAGTTTGCATAAGAGAGTCTTTGAGAAACTTGATTTAGAGAAGTTGCGATGTTTCTTGATATGGTTAATACCATTGAAAGCTCGTTTGAAATTCCTTTTCTACAAAAGAAACTTTATGTTGCATCTCAGTTGTCTTTTGTAGATTTTAGCTTAAGTTTTCACGTGATTAGAAGAAGACAAAATGTCCTCAGAGTCTGATAGTGACTTGTCAGAATCTCCTCGATCCTTATGTTGACTGGATCTTCAGAGTCTGGATCATCAGAGTCTAGATCATTAGAGGATGACGTCATTCAAAGTCTAGATCTTCGGAGGTTGACATCATTCAAAGTTTGATCTTCAGCTTCTAATATTTCAAAATCTGAATCTATAATTTTTTTTAAAAATATCCATTCTTAAAATCAGTACTAAATTCTCTCCAGAAATTTTAGCCTATAATCATGTACACCTAAACATTTATTAGAAAATCCGATTATACTTTAAATATTTTGTTATCATCATAATCTTATAAATATTTCACAAATCAATTTTTTTTCCACATGCACATGTATAAATCTTATTGTAAAGTAATTGATTCTAACATGTTTGTTATTCTTTATGAAAATTTTATTAGAATTAAAATACAGTCGGCCTATCAACACTTTAAAAGTAAAAATGTGATTAGTCCGAATACATAAAATCTTTTTTCTCTTTAAAATATAATTTGTAATTTTTAAATTTAAACATAATTAATAAAATATATATTTTAACTTCAAATTATTTTTAAGCAAAATCAATTGAGAAAAAAAAATTAACTCTAAAATATTGTCATGATATAAATGAATACTAAAATTTTATTGAAGAATGATACTGCAATAACTTTAATCTTAAATCAATTTTATAAAATCAGTTAACTTTAAATCAATTTTGTTTACTGCAAAATCAAACATATATTATGATCCCAAAAATATTCATAAACATCCTACAATAAAATCACCCCTCTCCTCTTCCTTCGGTGTCTGTGAATTTGATAATTTTGTTGCAGAAGAATAAAATGGGGATCCGATTCGTGTTAATGGTGAACAAACAAGGGCAAACCCGTCTTGCTCAGTACTATGAGTATCTCACTGTCGAAGAAAGACGAACCCTTGAAGGAGAAATCGTTCGCAAATGCCTTGCCCGCAATGAACACCAGGTTCCCCTTTATTAACAGCTATAAAGTTCCATTCTTTTCATTCTATTCCATCAGATCTTGCAATTTTAGTTTAGATTTTGAAGTGTTATGTTAGATTATAAGCATTCACATCATGTTGGTGTTGTTATTTAACCCTAGCTTTTGGGTATGTTTGGATTCAAGTTTGCAAGCATAAGTTTGAATCAATTGAAGAAAAACTCTGTTTAGGAATTAGACTATAATGGAAATCAAAGAAAGGTTGTTTTTTTAGTGTTCTGTTTGGGTGCTCACAAATATAAATCAAACATTCTACATAGGATGGAATGATATGAAATAAAGTTTTTGATTTCTTATTCTATTTGAATATGTTGATCATAGATTAGAGAGATTAGCTGGTTTCATTCCACACCTCAAATTGGGAAGAGATAAAAGTTAGTGAGGTATTATATGCAATAGAATGCATTCTACTCTGGTATTTTATGTTATTAAACTTGGCCGTTCCGATCGTTATCTCAGCATGGAACAACAAAAACAAGAAAACTGCGTCAGGTCGTGTGGTTCCTTCACAGATGGGGGAATCGGCTGGAACCACAGCGATAATGAGATTGAATTTGGAGTGTTGCCTTTTTGATGTGGCCGCTCTGGTCGCGTTAGCATTATATAATAATACCATAAAATTTTTAAGGATAAAAAAGTTATTTTATTGATTTTTATTGGAAGCATGTTTTGCTGAAGACTTGTGGGTTTTATTTCTAAATATGAATACTTATGAATTTTGATTAATTTATTTTAGTTTTAACCATGTGTTCATTAGTATTAACTGTATTAGTGTTCGCGTCACTAATGTATCGGCCGTTCCGCTCCCTGCTCCCCTCCCGTTCTCTTTTTGGGGATGACTGTGCCACTCTGCAATCCGATATTATTTTAGGGTTGTTTGCTAGATGGATTTTGAATATTCCTCCAAAAACCAACTCGCAAACACACACTTAAACCATCTGAGTTCATTTAACTTTATGTCACTCATATTGATTCATATTGATACAACATAGCGCAAGATATGAGGTTATTAAGACTCTCCCACCTAATAGACTAGTCTTTTGGATTGGGCTTTTCGCCTGTAAGTCCTAACAGGTTAATGATTAATATGTTTTATCTAGTTTTTCCTATCTGTATTATGAATTTTTAAAACTGTCTTACTCATATTAGCATGTTAGTTTATCCGAAAAACATGTGATTGAGTTGTCTTATCGTTTGATGTTTCTGTTCATTATAATTAATTTTGCTGATGGATTTTTGTCATGGACAGTGTTCATTTGTAGAGCATCGCAACTACAAAATTGTATATAGGCGCTATGCATCTTTGTTTTTCCTGGTTGGAGTTGACGACGGCGAGGTAATTCATTTTTTCCCTGTATTTCTCATTCCAACGGTTTCACACAAAAGCATTGAATAATTTAAAACAAGCAGATTGTGATCAATAGTCTAGCGTTGATTTTACTATGACCAGTGGTCGTGGCTTCAAATGCGATCTGCCTAACATTTTTTTGTCCAAAGAAACAGAGAGGACCCTAGAGGTTTTTCTGTTGTAAACGGATAAATCTGAAGTTAATAATCTTGCTTGTTGAACACTTCAGCTTCAGTAAAATTTCCCTTATATTTGTGTTATTGTAGATGAATATGATATAATTCCAAATTCTGCTTCTAATTGATTGTTCATTAAACCCTTTGTGGATATCTTTGTAGAACGAACTTGCTATTTTGGAATTTATCCATCTCTTAGTCGAAACCATGGATCGACATTTTGGCAACGTGGTAAGTAGTCTTGCTCTGATTAGAGTATGTGGATTGTGTTTGTTCCACATTCTTCTGCAATGTCTATTATTTTCTTCCTTCATTCTCCTAAAGTCATCTTCAACCAAACACTGATGTCATGTTTCATTGTTTGCATAAATTTGCAGTGTGAGCTAGATATCATGTTTCATTTAGAAAAGGTACATTTTATGTTAGAGGAAATGGTGATGAATGGTTGTATTGTGGAGACTAGCAAAGCAAATATCTTGACTCCTATTCAGCTGATGGATAAAACATCATAAGTGAGACAAAGCAAGAGTTGATGTATTTTTATGTTATTATTACTATTAGCTGTCACTGTTGCTACTGTATGTGTACAATCAAGTGAATATAAACTTCAGCAGTTAATCTCAATTTTCTTTATGAATAAAATACTGAAGTTTGTATTTCATTTTTATTTTTTCTTTCATCCTTGATTGTATTGTATTGTATTGATTATTGATTGTTTGCTTAAAACAAATGTTCCCAAGTCTTGTTGGTATGGGTGCAAATAATGCAATGCAAGTTCTCATTGGAAATCCTGCTTATAATATCGCCACTTTTACATTACTTTATGTCTCAAACAGTGTTCTGTTCCATTGCGGTTGCTTGAGTAGGGAGGCTTTTCCTGTCTACATGGCATAAATTAAATTCAACACGATCAATGTGAAATTTTCTTTCACGGATGGCCATAATTTGTTTGTTGAAATTCTTCAGACATCCATCCGAATTGCATAGAGAAGAGACAATTTTGCATTGTCTGTACGAACCCATAAAGGCCAATTGCCATGGACCAGAGAAAGCAACAATTTTGCAAATCGCTTGCAGCGTAGTGGATTACCATAGAGAAGAGCATAGCAAGTATATATCCAAGATATATCTAACGACTCTCTGAAACTTATGCTTAAAGAATAACGGAGAATAATGGGTTGTTATAACCGGTCTATTATATAAAGAGATGCACGCTAATTACAAATACACAATTTCAAATTCAAACTTCATACGCTCATCTCCTTCACATATTGACTTGAGTGTGGAATTGTTAACCTTATAGATCAGCACCTCTCTCACCGCATCAAGATCTCAAGTCCACTGTTGCATCCTATAACATCCAATCTCTGATCAATTCTAATTTCGTTGCGGAACAGTGACATCGTCTGTTGAAATTTCCTTTGATTCTCATATTTTCACGATTGAATACTACTACTTTGAGTCATCGATTCGAAACCTCCTCAACCTAAGCCGATCAAAGTTCTTGAGGTCGAACCACATATCTGTTGTTCTTAATCTACTCCGGTAACAAACCAAATTTTATGAACTTCCAAATCTCTAATCTCCAAATCGTCTGATAATGACTGGATCTAAAGCCACTCGCTTTGCTGCTTTGCGCAAAGCGGCTGCTGTTGCTGCCTAAGCTGCAAGAGATCCATTGCTTCCTCCTCCTTAAGGCGGTACGGATCAGGTCGCAGTAAATCTCCATTGCATTCAGATCTTCTCCAACCTCTATAGATCACTAGATTTGCTTTACAATTCCAACAAGGCGAACCTTCATTCAGGTCTATGGCACTAGCAGAGGTATTGAGATCGAAAACACTGCCTGATTTTCACTTATTGCAAGCTAATATCGGAGTACAAGGAGGAAATAAGTTGATGAACAGTATGTATAACATCGTCAGGCAACAAAACTCGCAAGCGATAAAAGAAAAATACTTTGTCTGAAAGAAAGTTTACACCAAGCGAAACCGAAAAGAAACATGGTGTAGAAGGCTCTCTCTAAAAGAACCCGAACATTCGTTACTGAGCCATCCACAACGCATTGAGATGCGGATCCAAGATCACCACACCACTAGAAAAGCAGGAGGCATCAGACTCTTTCTCATAGTCTTAAAGGACGCCAAGGCAGTCATGTTCCTCTTGAGGAGCAAGTAGAGAAACCACCGGTAAGAAAACCGTGGAAGCATCCTTTGTATTCTAGTATCTTAGATAAATAAATACCGAAGCCATCATAGAAACCTCTAAAATTGAAGGAGTATGACGAAAAGAAAGATCCCAAGAAGCACGTACAACAAGTTGATGATTGCTTGAACTACTTCCATGTCGATGAGGCAACAAAGTGAAAAATATTCATGCTAACATTGATAAGATAAGCCATATTCTAGTTAAAAGCTTTGTCGAACGGAAGCTTTGATTTGTGGACCGGTCTATACGAGAGCTTTATTGCTCATTTCACAACACGAAATAGGCAACCATTGACCATAGCTGCCTCTGGCGCAATAAAGCAGGGGAAGAAAGAGATCTTGCAGTTGTACATCGATTGTTTCACGCAGATAGTTGTGAAAGTAGAAGAAGCTGAAGAGGGCCTCAAGTGTTAGATCTTTGAGAATAGGCTGAGGCACAATAACTCCTTTAGGGAGAAATTATGATGTAGGGAGACCCATAGTGTAAAAGAGCTACTGAATAGAGTATAACCCTTCATTAACCTCGAGGAAAAACCTATCGCCTGACTTGACAATCAAGAAAAGGCAGATGCACGTTCTGACCAATCATATGGGGAAGATTCTAACAGATGAAGAGAGGAATTCTATCGTGGAACCCATGGCCGGTATGAAAAACGCACCCCTCTGAACACTTTCCAAGAAAGATATACCAAAAGTGTGCCAACACAAAAATTCTAGAAGGCCGGGATCAAAAACCCTTTTCTGTTAGGGAATCTTCATGAACTGATAAGACAAAATATTATTGTTTTCACAAGATCCATGATCATAACACCGATGATTACATCCAACAAAATATTATCATTTTCACAAAATGTTCTTGTACATGTGTCTAATAGAAGAATCAAAGTAAAACACAATAACCCGCCCACAAAAAGTGAGGGCAGGACGGGGTAGATTCGTAGAAACTGCACATTTTAATTTTAAAAATGTAAAAATTTATGTTATTATCCGCACCGCAAAAGTTTGCAAAAAATGGGACGAGACGGGGCAGATACATTAAAGACTGCAAGTTTAAAAAACTTAACTCGTCTTAAAAAAAATACAGACAAAACAGACATATCTAATGGGTTGGGTCTGTTTTGTCACCCATAGTTGAAATACTGAGATAAATTAATGTGGGAGGTGCAATTTGACCTATTTTAAAAAAGGTTAAATAGGAGAGTAAAAAATGAATGGTAAATAATTGGTATGTGAAAAGGATAAAATGAGAATTTTTAAAAAAATTATAATTATGGAGGGATAGTAGGGTAAAGTTTTTGTGAGATATTGGATTGAACTTTAGTATTTCGATAGAGGTTTAACATGTTGCCGAAGTCTGCTCACATGTTGTTGTCGAAGACCTACATGCTGTAGTCGAAATGTGTTCTAGTATGTAGTTGTCAAATTGAGTCTTGTGTTAAGGATCAAATTGTTTAAGTTAGCTTGTACCCTAAATTAGCTTGTAATTAGTAATTGTTACAAAGCCCATTAGTTTAGTATGTTAGGTTTTATTATAAACAACATACTATTTTCTCATCTTAAGTGTGACAAATCCTAATTAGGGTCAGAGGTTTATTTGTTATTCTTGAATACTTGTAATCTGATTTAAAGAGAAAGTAAAGAATGAAAGTTATAACCAATCCTTGTTCTTCTTCTTGTTTTTCCATTAACCTTAACCCTTGTATGTTTCCTGATCATTAAAAAACCATTTATACTTTGTTTCAAGACATCGTTTTTCACAACAAATTAGTGCGTGAGCGTGGTGAAGATGCCTTCAACAAAGTATGAGACTGAAAAGTTCATCGGATTGAACGACTTCGGTCTGTGGTGCTTAAAGATGAAAACCCTACTGGTTCAACATGGTTGTTTGGAAGCATTGAAGGGAGCAGCCATGAATGTTATGTTAACGAAAACTAAAAAGACGACCATGATAGAGAAAACCCACTGCGTAATATTGTTAAGCCTTGGTCATAAGGTTCTCCGACAGGTATCAAAGGAGACTGCAACACTGGGGTTATGGTTGAAACTTGAAAGTTTGTATATGGCCAAATCTCTGGTGAATCGACTCTACTTGAAATAAGCTTTGTATTCATTCAAGATGAGTGAAGACAAAGTGTTGGCTGAGCAGTTGGATATATTCAACAAGCTGATTCTTGATCTTGAAAACATTGATGTGAAGATCGACGATGAAGATAAAGCATTATTGTTGTTGTGCGCTTTGCCCAGAACACATGCTCACTTCAAAAAAACTCTCTTATATGGAAGAGAGTCTCCGAGCTTCGAAGAAGTTCAATCAGCCTTGTATTCTAAAGATTTGAATGAACAAAAGGAGCATAAACCTTCGACGGTTGGTGAAGGTTTGGCCGTTAGGAGAAAATTCATGCGAAAGGATGGTAAGTTCGACAAGAAGAAAGGTAAAAGTCAGCAGAAGTCTTATAGTGGTGAAGCATTTGGTATTCAATGTTATCATTGTAAGAAGGAGGACCACACAAGAAATGTATGCCCTGAATTCCTGAAAGATCGTGGAGGTAAGGATAATGGAAACACAACCATTGTTCAAGACGACTTAGACTCATCTGATGTTCTTGTCGTTTCAAGCGGCGACTCAAGAAAAGAATGAATTATGGATTCAGGTTGCACTTGGCCCCTGACTCAAAACAGAGAATTGTTAGAGGAGCTATGTGATCAAGATGGTGGATCAGTGTTGATGGGAAACAACAAATCTTGCAAAATTGCAGGTATTGGATCTGTGAGATTCAAGCTCCATGATGAGTCAATAAGGTTATTGACTGAAGTCAGGTATGTACCTGATTTGAAAAGAAATTTGATTTCTCTTGGTGAATTTTGACAAGAAGGGATATGTTTTTCAAGGAGAGAAAAGTATTTTAAGAGTCATGAAGGGGTTGAAGGAAGTCTTGAGAGGCATGAAGAAACAAGGCTTTTATACCCTTGAGGTTGAAGTTATAAGTGGTTCGACAAATGTTGCATCCACAAAACCTTTGTCGAAGACAGAAATTTGACACATGAGATTGGGCCATGTCAGTGAAAGGGATCTAGTCGAATTGGGGAAACAAAATCTGATTGGTGGAGACAAAGTCGAAAAGCTGAAATTTTGTAAAGCATGTGTACTTGGAAAAATTTGTAGAGTGAAGGTCAGCAAAGCCAAATAAAAAACACATAGATCCCTTGATTACATCCATGATGATCTTTGGGGGCTTGTAAGGTGTTCATCACATTCAAGAGAAAGGTATTTCTTATCCATAGTTGATTATTATTTTAGAAATTTATGAGTATTCATCCAAAAGACTAAGGATGAAACTTTTGAGAATTTCAAAGGTTGGAAGACTCTGGTCGAAAGTCAGGCTGGCAGAAAGGTCAACAGGTTGAGAACTGACAATGGCCTTGAATTTTGCAATGAGGCGTTCGACAGCTTTTGTGTTGCCTCAGGTATTGCAAGGCACAAAATCATTGCAGGTACTCCACAATAAAATGGTTTGGCGGAAAGGTTTAGTCGAACTATTTTGGAAAGAGTTAGATGCATGTTGACTAGTGTTGGGTTAAAGAAGGTGTTTTGGGCTGAGGCTGTTTTGACAGTAACATATCTGATAAACAAATGTCCTTCGACTGCATTATATATGAAGACACCTGAAGAAGTTTGGTCGGGACATTCACCAATTTTCCACAAATTGAGAGTATTTGGCTGTGTGGCCTATGCTCACATTAGGCAAGACAAGGTCGAACATAGAGCTCTGAAATGCATGTTTTTAGGATACCATGAAGGGGTCAAAGCTTATAAGCTATGGTGCGTAGAGTCAGGTCACAGGAGGTGTATCACCAGTCGAGGTGTAGTTTTCATTAAAGCTGAGATGGCCTTCAAGAAAACTGATGATGCGGACGAAGAGCTGGAACATGGAGATATTCATGTTGAGGTGAAGCATGTTGGTGCTGAATTGCGTATCCCAGATGAAGTCGAAGAAGAAGTAGAAGTTGTTGTTGAAGATGAGGTGAGTGATAATGACTACCTGATAGAAAGAGACAAGTCGAGGAGAGTCATCATGCCACCTCAGAGACTTGGGCATACAGATGTTATAGCTTATGCCTTAATTTCTGCAAGTGACGTTCTAGACGAAGAACCTAGAGACTATAAGGAGTCGAAATAAGACTGAATGGCTGAAGACCATAGATGATGAGATGAAATATCTTCATGATAACAACAACTGGGAATTGATAAAAAGAACCTGCTGGAGCCAGGTCAGTCAGTTGTAAATGGATTTTCAAAGTTAAGGAAGGAATTAAAGGAGTGGCGTTGAAAAGATACAAGGCAAGATTGGTCGCTAGGGGTTTCATTCAGAAAGAATGTGTCGACTTCAATGATGTGTTCTCTTCTATTGTGAAGCACAGGTCCAATCAAATGTTGCTTTCCAGGTGGCACAATTTGACTTTTAACTAGAACAAATGGATGTGAAGACTGTTTTCTTGTATGGTGATCTAGATGAAACAATCCTGATGAGGCAACCTGAAGGTTATGTCGAAAGAGGGAAGGAAGATTATGCGTGCAAGCTGAAGAGATCTTTATATGGACTGAAACAATCTCCTTGACAGTGGAATAAGAGATTCGACAAGTTCATGGCACACATAAGTTTCATTAGAAGGCAGTTCGACCAATGTGTTTACTTCAGATTTCAACCTAGTAATTCATTTGTTATTTTTTTGCTTTATTTGGATGATATTCTAATAGCAAACAACAATGTTGAAGATGAAATAAGGGTGAAGTTTGAACTCAACAAGGAGTTCGAAATGAAGGATCTGGGAGTTGCGTCCAAGATTCTTGGGATTGACATTCGAAGAGATAGAAAGCAGTCGAAATTATACTTATCTCAAGAGGCATACCTACGGAAGATTCTCAAAAAGTATGGTATGCAAATTCAAAGTCTGGTGTGACTCTGACAAACCCTCAATTCAAGCTGAGTATAGATCAGTGTCCCAGTACTGATGTCGAAAGAGCTTATATAGTTACCATTTCATATGCTAATATAATGGGTTCTTTGATGTATGATATGTCATGTACTAGATCTGACATAACATATGCAGTGAGTCTTGTAAGCAGGTACATGGCGAATCCTGGAAAGGCTCACTGGCAAGCATTGAAGTGGATTCTAAGATACACAAATGAGAACAACGTCCTAATTTATGGTGGAACCTTGGGTGAAGATAGTAAAGTAGCAATCAAAAGATATGTCAAATTATGCAGGTTGTATGGATTCCAGAAAATCTATTTCTGGATATGTGTTCACTATATTTGACACAAAAGTCAGTTGGAAAGTAACATTTCAGAAGGTTGTTGTCTTATCAACCACTAAAGTTGAATATATTGTCGTCACTGAAGCTGTGAAATAAGTATTGTGGCTTGAAGGTTTTGCAAAGGAGCTTAAACTTCAAGGTCGAAGTATCACTGTTAAATGTGATAGTCAAAGTGCAATACATCTATCGAAGAATTCAGTCTATCATGAGCGAACCAAACACATTGATGCGAGGCTGCATTTCGTTAGAGGGGTAATCGAGCATGAAGAAATTCAAGTGCTGAAGGTTTCGACAGATCATAATGCTGCTGATATGATCACCAAGATATTGCCCAGTTGCAAGTTTTTCCACTGTATGTAGTTGATAAAGCTGCATGAAGAAAGGTAGTTTCTTTCTTTAGGTTATAGAGTTTGTTCTATGGTGGAGATTTTTGATATATTGGATCGAAATCTAGTATTGTCACAGAGGTTTAGCATGCCATCGAAGTCTGCTCACATGCTGTTTTCGAAAACCTACATGCTGTAGTCTAAATGTGTTATAGTATGTAGATATCGAATTGGATCTTGTGTTAAGGATCCAATTGTTTAAGTTAGCTTATACCATAAGTTAGCTTGTAATGGGTAATTGTTAAAAAGCTCATTAGTTTAGTATGTTAGGTTTTATTATAAATAACATACTAGTCTCTCATCTTAAGTGTGACAAATCCTAATTAGGATGAGAGAGTTATTTGTTATTCTTGAGTACTTGTAATTTGATTTAAAGAGAAAGTAAAGAATAACAGTTATAATCAATCCATGTTATTCTTCTTATTTTTTCATTAATCCTAACCCTTATATGTTTCTTGATCATAAAAAAATCATTTATACTTTGTTTCAAGACATCGTTTTTCACAACAATTTTGAAAGTATAGGATGTACCAAACAATAATTTTTTAATTTAAAAATCAAAAATATACTCTAAAACCAAACATATTATTTATGGAAAGAAATTAATTTGTATGTATTAGCGGAGTAAAAAAGAGTTTAATGAAGATATTAGATCAATGATATATTATCCAAAAATATTTAGATGAGATGATAAGAGTCTATTCTCTTAGATCATTAATTTTGAAGGTCAATACGAGGAAGCTATACTGAGATCTTTGTTATGAGGAACACATCTTTGTAAAAGACACAACACATATTTACCAAAAATTTTAGGATGATAGGTGTGTGCGTTCTCACATATAAAGTTTTCAATCTCTACTTTTCTAATTAACGTTGGATTTCTCCACACTTGTTCCTCTAACACTTCCAACTACTCACATTTGTTTCTCTCAACTTCTATCAGCTTAATTAAAGGCTCTTAGTGAGAATTGAGTCTTGAACACATATATTAGTATTAAATCTATTGAGTTAGAGTTTTGCCGTCTATTGTGATTTTTCCTGATTTGAGAAATTAATCTATATAGTTACGTGGAAAAGATATTTGATTTATACCAAATGAATGATATGGTAATATAAAACTTTTTGAAAACAGAATATTATAAAACAGACTCTAAAATTGACCGAGTTTTACATGTTGTCTAATTTCTAGAATTAGTTTACTTTTCAAACCAATCATGAAAACTTTGAAGCCACCACGCGTCTATGACCAAGATGAAAGCATAACTTTGACTTGCGGCGAGTCTAGGTCCACATAACTTATTAATACTATAGATATCTACTTGACTCGAGTAATTTTCCAAGTTCAAACAATTCCATCTTTGTCCACATTTGTGTGTTTCATTTTCTTAACATCAACATTGACCAAGTTAAATCTATCATGGATAAGAAATTGAAACAAAAACTCGTTTTTAGATGAATCAGAACTCTTTCAAATTCAAATGATTATCATACAGGACAAAACATAACAAAAGAATACATTTTTCTCATGTAAGGTTGAGCTTTCCACATACATCTTATGGATGTGAAAAGGCAAAAAAATAAACTAATCATGTATACATAATTTACAAGTTACAGTTACAACACAAGTTAGCAGCTAAAATGGTTAGACATAGTGATAAATACTGTTAACAAATGGTTATATGAACAATGCTCATCCTACAGATTAAACGAATCTTCCTCTTCTTTCTTCTTCTCTTCAGCGACAGTCTTAGCAATCAAAAAACTCGGTTGATTTGTCGAAGATAAAAGCCTAGCCCACATTCGATCTGTTATCACTACCGTGTTCTGTCCTTCCGTGATTCTCTGCATTACACAGCAAAGACCTTATCAAGTTTTAACAAATAATTCTTATGTATTATGCAGAAGCAGAAATAACTATACCGCAAACTCACATTAAAAGGTATATAAGCTTGTCTTCCATGCACAAGCCCACTAGTAAAACCAGTGTAACCTGCCATTGCTCCATGAACAGCACTTTGACCAAGAAGTGTGCAGTACACATTGTCAGAAGCATTGCTCGGAACAGCTCGAATCATATAGGTAGGATCTGTCAATAGAATTAGAAAGGGCAATACTTGATATTTCAATTATTGTTTTGTTCAATATACAGATATTTGTACTTGCGTGCACATGCACACATACACGCACACGAATAAATATATTTGGTTTTTTCATCTTTACCAACCTATATATTTGAGAGTTATGCCCATTGTCCTCTGTTTAGCAAAATGGTCCTGCGACATCCAAGATTCAAAATTTATCAAAATGGACATTGAAATCTCTTTTAAACATGCAAACTAGTATAAGTAGGGATAATAAGAAGGTGACGGACAAAACATAATAAATGGACATGGATGTAAGGTAAGGATGCAAACATGTCAAATTTCAATCTGTATTAAAGAAATAAATAATGAGAATAATACATTTTAAAGATCACATTGAGATAACCAGCACAAACAAATAAGAAATAATCAACACCTTCAATTTCTGGGATATCCAAAGCCCGACATCTTGAAGAAGTTTGTTTCCGGAAGCATCCTGCTTGTACATGGCTTGGATGCTCTCGGTAACAAGTTCCTGTCCTGCACCTTCAGCAATCACAATAACCATGTGGCCGTTTTCTTTTAGTCTTCTCTCCGCAAACTCAAAAAGTCCACCCGGACCTTCAAGGTAAAAGGGTGTCTCCGGAATTAAGCAAAGGTCCACATCCCGACTTGCAAGGGTAGCATACATTGCAATAAATCCTGCATCATGCATCCAAATTAAATCATATATGAAGAGTTGATTGACACAAAATTAGCCATTTTCTATTGTTGTTTGTTACAAGTTGTTAAAGCTAGTCCTGCCTCCCAATCAGGAAACATACCACTGTACCGGCCCATCAACTTGACAACACCTATGCCGTTTTCAACGCTTTCAGCTTCAACATGTGCTGCATTTATAGCACGCTGAGCCTCCTCAACAGCTGTGTCAAAGCCGAAGGACTTGTCAATAACCTATTAAGCCAGAGACAAAAGAAAACCATCTACAAGTTAACCATGCTAACTGTTGTAGTAAGCAATAAACAGATTCAAACTACTTGAGTAGGAATAATAGGACTATGGGAGAATTTTATTTTACCGGAATGTCATTATCTATGGTTTTTGGGATTCCTACAACTGCAACCTTGAGGCCACGCCTTCTAATTTCCTGTGTCGATAACCAGGAAAGTATCGTTAATAATTTCTATTTTGATATCATGAATGTTTATGGAAAGTTCATTTATATTCCTAAGCCAAACAGCATAATACTAATTGTTATATATATACCTCAAAAATTTTATATGCACCCCTCTGAGTTCCATCTCCTCCTATTATATAAACCTGATTTCGACCAAATTATAAGTCTGATATACTGCATAGTTAAGAAAGTGATATTATACGTTCTGATAAATAGAAGGAAACACAGACCTGGTTGATTCCCCTATCATAAATACTGTCAACTATCTTAGTTGTGTCATGTCCGCCTCGCGATGAACCAAGGATAGTTCCTCCCCGCTTATGTATATCATTTACGGTTTTAGGAGTTAGAGGGATTGTATTGTGAGCATAAAAACCCTTGTATCCTCCCTGCACATCACAGCACCTTTTTATGTTTAGAGACTAATAAACTAACATAAACGTGCGTTAATCTTTTTTATGTTCATTTTCATCTCCATGATTGTATGAAATCCAAACAAGAGGATAAAATGCTTTTGTGAAGATTCACTTACACTGATTCCTAATACTTTCTTGACACCGTACATATGGTATAGACCACATACTAACTCCCTAATAACGGTATTGAGACCAGGACATAAGCCTCCGCATGTCACGATGGCAGCCTGAACTTCATCTGATTCGAAATACACCTGAATATCCAATTTTTTACGGTCATAATTAAATAAACGCGAGAACGACCCTAAACAGATAAACTCACACGCGTGAAAACATACCCTTTGACGAGGTCCAGCACGCCGAAAATGTATCCCTCTTGGACTATCTTTATTAGCAATAATCTATTAAACGAAGAGGAAAATAAATTACATAAATTAAAGTAATTACGTCTATTTTCCAGCAAAACTTATTTGTCAGAAAATTGTAAATCACTTTTTAACTTGCATAGTCTTCCAGGAAGTTATGTTTTAAGATCTTTTTGAGGCCTGTTGTTATCTCTTGTCTGTCATAATATCATTTCATCAGTACAATTTTCTTTTTGTTAATAATAGATTGTGTTCCGGTCGAACCCAGAAGCGTATGAGTGTTGTATATAAACTACTTTTAGTTTCGATCTCTAGGCAATATAAGACTATTTTGGTCAGCTCAGAACAAATTGCTTTCATGGGAGATAATCATGTTCGAGGTACGACCAAACACTAAACACGATCACCTTTCTCACCAGACAAACTTTACTTCCCCGCATTCATGATACATTTTAAACGAATACAAATTCTATAAGATCGACGCAATCGGTATAACTTTGATTATCACACCATATATTATACGAAGTTTATTAATTTGATTATTGTTCTAGTACTCTCCTTTACATCACAACCAAAACTCTCCATATACACAGCATTAGATATTAGAGATCCATCACGAAAATCGAAAATTAGATATTACAACAGATAACCGAAAATTTATCCCAAAATAAAAGAAAATATAACCTTTTCAGGAACACTATCATCCACATGCACGAAATATTGCCTGGAAGAGTAAAATCAAAACTAAATTAAATTAAAATAATAAATTAAGTCAAAAACAAATTATAACAAAAAGCAAATCATAAAAATATGAAAAGCTTACTTGACAACCGAATAAGCAGGATTATCTTGCAACGGATTAGAATAAGTCTGCAAAACAGAAATTAACAACAATTTTTTTATTATTTTTCTTTCTGAGTTGAAAATACAATTATGATAGAGAAAGCTATATAGAGAAGAAGCATGATTTAACAGGACGCATGAGAAAAGCGTAAAGAGAAGAATTCGAAAAGGAATTGGAACGACGGCGTACTGGTAATTCAGGAATGTAATCGGAGAGATGAGGAACGTCTTCGAGAACGTAACCGGCGGAGCCTCGAATGATTTTAGGCTTTGAATTCGGAGAAGAACCCATTAGTACGGTGAGTAAGAGTAGCAGAGCAAGAAGAGAAAAATTGAGATGATGAAGTTTGTATTGAATTGAAAATGTGGATTTGCGATGATGGAAGAAGATGCGTGAATGTATCGTGTTCGAAGTTTTAACGAGTGGTTTGGGAGGGAAGGGTGGTACTTATAGTAAAACGGTGTTGAAGATTGCTGAACCCGAATCAAGGTTTGAGAAATTCACGGTTGCTTTGGATTTTTACGGTGGAAAAGAAAGGCAGGTAAATAAATGAAACTGAAACTGGTGGCGCCAAATTCTTAGAATTTTTTGTGTTTTGGTTAATAGATTGCGAATAAAAACTAGTTATATTTCTTTTTATGTGTTTTATTTATTGTCATTTTTATGCATATCTAAATCTTTAAGATTATATAAATAAATTTATAGTTAATGTTCTATTGAATTTTGAAAATATTAAATTTATACTTTTTTTCTTGTGTTGCATCCTAATCATCAAATTAGTCACAACGGTAAATTGTTTCTTCTTTTTCATGTTTGATATTTTGATGATGAGACTATGATAAGAGATTCAGAAAAGGTAACTAAAGCTTTTGACATCATTCGAGAGACTGGTTTAGGATTAGACCTCGAATTGAATATTTATAAAATGGATATCTTTTGACTTTGCGTGATGGTAATAAATTTCGCAGGGAGTTGTTTCTAATCTTTGGATGAAGTTGCTTGGAGGGACCTTAGTTGAGATGAAGGCTTTATCGAGAGGTTGTCCACGAAGAGGTGCCATGGTGGTTGAGTTAATTCATCTTCTAGAACAACTAAGGGATTCTTATAGTGAGCTTCTTCTACTTCGTTCTTTTTTGGCCTTAGAACGTGTCAACCTAATCATATGGAGAAAATAATTATTTGGTTTGATAAAAAGCTACAAAGGACAGTTGAAGACATCATGGTTGGTAGAGGTCCTTTTTTCGGGGACCTTACATGAATGGTGGCTTATTTACCTATTAGAGTTTGGGGATAGGGTTTGTACTCGGTAGTAAAGGCTGGCTCAAACGCGTTTGTGCCTTCTAAGACCCAATCTTGGATGTTACAAGTTCATATATTAAGAGACAGTTAGATATGTGGTATGGACCTTGATTTTTACAGAGTTTTAGATGGTCTTAGTAATGTGATTTTGGATTTTGACCTTAGCAGTTTTACTAGAAAAATAACAATGTCTCTTCTACAACACCACATGTTTTAACGAGTGCCATTTTTAGTAAAAGTGTTCAGGACATAGATTTTGGTTGTTCGCAAGCAGCACATGCTTAAGATTTTCTCATTGCTATCCCTATTAATGGTCTAGGCAAACATATCTCCCCAATAAAGTACCTTGCCGCCCTTAAATACTAACTTATGATTCCCTTATTTCTTGTTGATGAGGTTTTCCTTATTTTCCGCAAGACATGCTTGGATACTTTTGGGGAACACAACATTCATTGTAAGGAGCTTCCAGAATTCAAACACCGACATGACTTTGTTAGAGATGCCTTATTTGATATATTTAAGCGTGTCAGGATATCTGTGAAGTTCTTGACTGACCCATATGATGGGAGAATTGACACATAGGCCAACATATTTTCTAGTGCACGAGTGGGTAGGAGGGAAACATACATCTGTAAACTTGATTGGAGTTTCCCCACTGGTCGGACTGAGGACCATAAGTTTTATTGTGGGACAGGAAGCTCTCCTCTCAAAATCACTTCAAGTAAAGTGGTCAAACATGAGAAAATGTGTTCCAACAATCAACACGCTTTCATAGCATTTGTCTTAGACAATTTTGGTATTCTAACACTAGAAGCAGTGGATCTTTTACAGAGAGTGCTAATATTCACACATAGCAATGTTGTGTCTCATAGGACAATGAATACAGTTTTTATGATGGTTGGTTTTGCCATCAAAAAAGGGATAACGACATAGCTTGTTGCTTGTTTTCCTTCTATTTCTATATAATTTTGATTATAAAAAAATTAATTTATCTCTCTAAAAAAATCTATAAATATGACAAATAATAAAAAATATGAAACAATTTATATAATTAAATTTTATCATTTAAAATAAAATATGGATTATTTATATATAGTTTGTTGGTGTTGTTTACAAACTTTTGGCCAATTCTTTGTGTTGTGTTTAACGTTGTCACCGCCTTTTTGCGGTGGTTGGATAACTTGTTGATTTTGTGATGGTTGTATTTCTCACATTCATCTATTATGGCGTACATTGTTTTTGCACACTAGATCTTCAATGGTGCTTGGTTATTAATTCTATTTTGTTTGTTACATCTTTTTTGTTGTCGTCATCGCATTCATTTATGACAAGAGATGTTGTTAACTATTATTCTGCTCGAATCCATCAAGGTGGTTCTCTGATGGATTGCCCCACCTTGTCGATGTTATATAAGACCCCACAACCTTATCATGGTGGTAGTTTTCTTTTATTTTGTAAAGTTTGCTTCTCCTAGGCAGTGTAGCTCGGGTTTGGTTCAACCTCAAAAAACCGTAAGGGCATGTTTCAAATTGTTGGTTGGTGGTTGTGCGTCTTGACTACGATGTTTAGTTTTTTCTAGATATATGGATATATGCAATTTCCAAGGTGTTTAGGTTTCTTTCACCGCACCAATGCTTTTGTTTTATATCATGACCTCGTTGTTGTCATGTTGAGTGCTTCTCGTTTGGACCGGGTTAGGATTTGACCAATATTATTTGTTATGATCTAGGTTTGTTTACCTTGAAATTGCTTATGCTTAATATGAATTCTTGTAGGGGTTGTTGTTACTGATTCAGTTTGTGTTGATGATCGATTCATTCGTTGTTACTTAAAATTGTGAAGACTCACACAACATTGTTTTTGCTATTTGGTTTTAGGCTCTAACGGAGATTTGTGGATAATGTCTATTGTGTGCGCATTGTTTTAGTTTCTTGTAAACCATTTTATCGTGGTTTGAGTGTATTTAATTCTTTTGCAAGCTGATTATTTTGTTTTAGTTAGGGTTGAAAATAGGTCAAGCCATACCTTAGAAGGTCTGAGTGTAATTCCCTAAACTGCTTTCAAGATTACCAAATAACCCTAAAAACCAACATGAGTATTTTCACCATGCTTTGTCCTCGCTCACACGCTTTCCGGGAAACTTCCCAGAAGGTCATCCATCTCAATACTACTCCAAGTCAAGCACGTTCAACTATGAAGTTCTTATTCATTAGGCCATGTTAGAACAGTGGTAAAGTGTCGGGTTTTTGTTATCGTCTCCACAGGGAATTTGAGATATTGTTGTCGTTCGACGGTTGTCAAGTTCTTAACTTTATAGTAACAAAATGGGTTTGGTTTTTAATCACGGTATCTTGCATAAAAGGTAATAAATTGCAGTAAAAGATTGATTTTATGATTTAATGAAGATTGTCAAAGTTAGGGTTCGGTAATCACTTTGCTTGTATATGTTCGATCAACAATACGCATAAACTCCTTTAGGTGATAAACACATTCACAACATCCTCCCAATGTGATTATTTCTAACTCACATTGTGGTTTTTCCCATTTTAATCCATTGTTGATTTCTCACACAATCTATCAAAATGACAACATTTAGGTTTAACATTTTTCATGAACAACCACATTCAAAACTATTTCTAGCTTAAGAAAGTAGAAGGATGAAAACCTAGGTCAACAGTTGGGAAATATCTTTCAATCATAAACCAACACAAAGAGTTATAGATAAAGCAAGGTTTTCACCATATATTCATCATCCAAGAGTTTACACATGAAGATCATCCATATACATACAAAGCTTAATGATCACCTACATCTAACCTTGACAAAATGAAGAAATTAGCTACTCATTTTCATGGTAGCTTGCAAAAGAAGTTTCGAAAGAAGGTTGATGAACATCCGAGTCGAAGAATCCAACTTGGATGATGATCCACCTTCTTTTTGTAGAATAATGTTTAGAAATGAAGAAAATAAGAGATAATGGGTTTCTAGGTCACAAAAATCTCCTATGCAACAAAACTAGTGAAAAATATGGTATATGTTCAAAAAGTACATAGGGCTACTTATAGAAAAAGTTGTTGTCCTGTCACGCTCGTGACCTCGTTCTCCTAGCGAGCTAATAGCGAGCATTCTCTACAGCCTCGCCTAGCGAACATGCTAGAGAGGGCTGAGGAAAAGATTCTGGAATGCTTCGCTACTTGCTCGCTTGGTGCTCGCCTAGCGAGTTCTTCGTCACCTGCCTTGCTGCCAGCGAATGATGTCATTTTGATTATGCCCAAGTCTGGGAGTGTTCTCTAGCAGCTCGCTATGGGCTCGCCTAGCGAACAACTCGTTGCAACACTCGCCAGATGTTCGCCTAGCGAACATGCTTTTGCTCTTGTTCTTTCTTGATACCTTTGTCAACTTTCTTGTGTCTTCAAATTCTACTCTTTCATGCTCAAATACTGCACAATAACACACAAATTAAAAGGACCAAGAGCATTTCATATCATATTGCATATCAACAAAAGCAAGGCAGTTTTGAACTGAAATTAGACCAAAAATGAGCGAAAGGTGCCCACATTTGACAGCTCAAATAAGCACAACTGGACATCTAATAACTCTCACCAACTAGAATCTTGCTTGCCCTCAAGCAAAGCATGCCTCTTGAAGAACAAGAGGATTTGCTTAAAGAAAAAGGTTTATCCGAAATTGGATCAAATGGCTCAAAATCAAGCAACTTAACCAGACATGCGTTCCCAATGGTTAGAACAACACAATACACAAAAACTAAAATCTTATAGCAATGCAAAACATGTATCAATCAACAACAATGATATCCTGAATGAATCACCCTATCACTCCTCTTCGAATAAAGATTGAAGAGATCACGCGTTTACAACCGCGGGTGCAATCTCACTCTCCAACAAACAATGCCAAACTCAATTCAATTCATACAATGTCTAACAATTATAAATGAAAATGCGGAAGCACGAAGATCACTAAGGTCTTTTCCG